GCCACAGCTCCAAGCTACCAACAACTCCGTACCCAGATCTGAGTCCCCAGTCCTGCTGGGCCTCACAAGGACAAGGAACCTGGACCCTCTGGACAGGCACTGGAGTCTGGGATGCCAGGAGAGTAGAAGGCCCTTAAGAGCAGGAACCATATCTGGGAGGCCACATGTCCCAGCCCACACAGAGGATGTAGCTTTATTTCTGGAAGGGACCCTGGAGCAGGGCCTCGAGGGTCCTTGTCAGGCTGCCAACTAACGCTCATGGCACACACTAAAGGGGGTCTGTGGTGGCCAGGGCCTCCTGCAGCTGCTGTAGGAGGTCCTCAGGCTGCGGCAAAAACTTGCTCGTGTCCACTCTCTGGAAGTCGGGGTTGACCACCACAGATGCCAGCACCTCAGCAATCCGGCTGATGTCAAAAATGGCATGCTGGGGGCCCAGTCCAGAGTCCTCACTGCATCGCACTTCACCAGGGCCTATCTTCTTCACTAAGGGGAGCCTCCTTTCAGCAATGACCTTGAGGAAGTGGTAAAATTCTTCAAAATTAATTCCGGAGCAGGACTTCATGATGACCTGGAGCAGAGAGGACAGGCCAATGAGCTCACCTGCAACTCTAGGCAAGTTTCTGCTGATTGTGGACAGAGTCCAAGGATCCAAAGGATCCTTGGATCCAAAGCCATGGACCAGTCATTGAGGATGGAGTCAAATACCCAGGGGCCAGCCAGTGATGGAGTGGTCTGAGCCCCGGTGATCTGCCTCAGCCTCAGACTGACCCTCTTCCCAGCAGACCAGATAGCCACCCCTCCCCCCACTGCAGCCCTGTCTCTGGTAAGCTCCCGCCAACTTCCCATGCCTTGGCCCCTCCCTGTCCTCAGTCTTGTCCGGGCCAAACACCCCACCTGGCAGTGGTGGTGCCAGTCTGGCATGGTGTCCCTCCACTCGCTGACCTCCTGCTGCACAGCACACAGCTCCTGCTGCAGGAAACGCCAAGTGTTGGCCAGGTTACAGCCATTGATCCAGTTGTGGTTGATGGAGATAGTGTCCTCCTGGAAGAGGCAGATTGCAGGCTGTCCTCACAAGCCCAAGGGCAGTGTCCTCTCCCCTGACCTGAGGTCCTCCCAGCCCTCCTCAGCTGAGAAAGGCTCCCCCTATCTCTCTGGGGGTGTCAGCAGGCAAGAGAGAACCGAGTCTGGGACCACCTGAGTCCATAGCTAGTCCAAGGTGGGGCCCCTGGGGAAAGTAATGTGGAAGGGAGGGAACCCTTAGCCGTGCTGAGTGGGGTCAACATGCCTACACACGTGGCCGGCCTTGTCACACACCGGGGCTCTCCCAGAGGCAGAGCCAACCGTGGAGCCAGCAGGGACGGCACAGCCCTCTCTCCTCAGGAAGCATCAGGAAAAGTCTGCAGGCTGAGGGGCCCAGGCGAAAGGGGGTCAAGGCCAGCCTGGTAAACCCCATGGCATGTCTCCGTGCCTGCCTGGACTACCTCTTGGGCACATAGAGCGGGGTGTGCCCACCCTACCAGATTGTGGACTTGGTGGTGCCACCCGCTGGGCACAAACACCATCTCGCCTGCCTCCTGCGTGACCTCCAGCACCGGATGCAGGTGGCTCTCCAGGAATTCAGGGGCGGTCACATCGTAGGGCAGGCCACCGTGGCTATCCCGCAGGGCTTCTTCTTGCCCTGGTGGGAAGAAGAGCCACTTTTTCCTCCCGCAGATGTTGACAGACCAGCTGTAGGAGCGGAGGATGTCGGCATGGAACGGCGACCTGTGGAAAGTCCCTGTTGGTGTCTTGTGGTCTGGGTGTGGGCTTTGGTTCTTCCAAATAGACTGGCCACACTCAGAGGCCCTAGGTCCCCAGCTCTCACACCTATCTGTGAGCCACAGGGGTGAGCCAGACCTTCCCCACTTCAGAATATCCCGCAGGAGGGACACCAGTTCTGAGCAGAGTCATAAAGAAGGAAATGGGTTTGGAAATGCCAGACCTGGCAGCTCACTCCATGGCCTGGCCAAGGGTAATCTCCCAGAGGCTCTGAGAGAGTGCAGCATGGTTCAGGAGAGTGGCCAGGGACAGGGTGCAGGGCAGTGGTGGGAGCGGGCACACGGTTACCAGGTGCCAGCGGGTCCCATGTAGATGAAACGGTAGTCGTCCACATCCAGGGTGTCCCAGTACTCGTTGAGCCAGTCGGACGAGAAGTACACGGGCAGGGTGAATAAGTCCTCTGCAGAGGAGTACCTTCAGAGAGCAAGCGACATGAGGATGCTGCCATCTCCACGCTCCCAAACCCTGATATGAGGGCCCCTGAGCTGCCTTCCAGGGCCAGCACCAACTGCCAGGCTGAATGGGGCCACCTTAGATGACCCAGCCCCGGTCTGACCATCAGATGAGCCTAGCTGGGCTCGCCCAAATACCTGAACCAGGGTGGTAAGTAGATGAGATGGCTGAGGGTGCTGTGACAGGGCTAGACCCCCCATGGAGGTAGAACCCGCGTGCCCTGGGCCCTCTGGCACATGGTCTGGGATTTCAGACTGTTGGATTTTAGAGTTGTGTTCTAAATGCATCAATGGAGTGACACTGTTTTCCAAACTTGTGGGTTGCTTTGGTGTTTTCACCCACACCAGTGACCTTGACTCTGCTGAGCAGACACAAGGCCACAGGCCCTCGCACAAGGACTGCCTTGAACACCAAGGCCCTCTTCACCCTCAGTCTCTCAAATCCTTACTCCACCGGTGGATCCCACAACCCGACCATGGGCTCTCAAACACAGGAGCATGTTAACCCAGCCTCAGGGAGAATGCCAGGCAGGCTCACACATCATGCCTGGTCAGCAGCCAGAAGAACCCAGTACCACCAACCACCTGGAGCTCCCCCAGCACCAGGCCTTGTGCACCCAGACTCCTGCCCGTTCACAAGCCCTGCTCAGACAGTGCCTCCTGTGTCTGCCTAGCCCAGGCCTCTCTGCTCTTTTCATTTTACTGTTGCCAGAACACTCGGTCAAAACCTAATTTCAAACAAACAATAAAGTTTTTAGTACAAGTGTGCCCCATGCAATACTTGGGATATATTTACACCAAAAAAGCAACAAACACCCACCTTCCCCCCATTGCTTATCTGAAGCTCAAACCCACACTGCATAAGCATCAGGGCCTATGAGTGTCTGAGGGCCAAAGTCAGTGTCTGGTCACACCTTAACCACTGTCTACACAGAAAGTTCCATGCCCAATCCAAAGAGCTGTGGCAGGAACACAGAGGACATGCTGTGGGTGCTGTGGGTGGGGGCTGGCGCTGGCGTGCCTCGTTACTCTAGCAGCGGTCTTGGAATCACATGGGCCTGAGTTCTAGACTCATTTTACCTTTTTGAGCCTGAGTTTCCACATCAGCAAAACAAGAATTCAATTTGTGCACTCATTTGTCCAACATTAATTAACTAAGGGGAGTCTGATTAGGATGGTTTCTGCTGGTGGAAAGCATGCGCCTGGGTGGGGGAAATGGAAACAAAACCAGAAGACCCCCTCAGAACGTGGTCACCACAGTGAGAGGGAGATGTTTTCAGGGTAGCAGCGTTTGAGCTCCCCAGGTGGAAGTGTGCAGGAGGGAGCAAAGAAAGTCCTCTTTAGAGAGTTGGTGCCGCTCAGCAGCGATAAGGTTTTAAGCCGGTGGGCCACAGCTTAAAGAGCAGGTGCACCTGAGTGAGCCTAGCAGTGGGGTGCAGGGCCTGGCAGGCAGCTAGTCAGGAGACTGGCAGCACAACAGGCTGGACCTAGAGAGAGAGGGCTGGAAAGGGAGGCTGATTCCCGGGGGGGCATCTGAGCAGGGGGAGGCAGGCTGGGTGCTGCCAGTGAGAGGGAAGTGGAGCCCTCAGCTCTGAGCAAATGTGACAAAGATGTAATTCCCAGAGTCCACCTGCACCTCCACCAATCCCGCTTCTCCACAGCCAACTGCGTGCACACCATGGGATGGCCACCCCGTGCCGCAGAGCTGGATTTTTTAAAAGTACGGATTAAAATTCCTAACCGGGGAAAAGAGGAGATCCCCTGTGTGCGGCCAGGGCTCACTCAAGTCTGGAAAAAGCAGCGCCGCGGCCATTGCACCACACCTTTACCTGCACAGGTGCCAGTCTTTGAGGTAGAGACAGCCCCGTGGAGAGGAGTAGTCTCCCCGGATGAACTCTTTCCAGTAGCTGATGTAATCTTTGAGGGGCATGTGTTCTTTAGGGTTCGAGTTGTATTCCTGGACCCCGCAGTTTGCAACAGGCACAACTACATCTCCTGAAAAGGGAGGATCAGGCACATACTTTTCCGAGTCCTCCAGCTTCTTCATGGTCTCCGATCCTGTCCACCCCTCCAGCTCGGTGCTCAGGTCGTCTCCGCATGAATGCCTCTGGGAGCTCACTCAAGCCTTCTCCCCAAACCCTCAGTGGCTACCCGCATTTGCGCCCCTGGAGGTATGGCCTAAGGGAAACTGGCAGGAGGAGAGTAAGAGGACTCCGCTCTGGTCCTGTGCTTGCGCTCGCCCTCCGTCCTTACCATAATTCTGCAGCAGGTGGTCGAAGTCGGGCTTCCCGCTGGGCGTCACCCAGCGCTTCCTGCAGCCCCAGTGCTCAGTGAAGGCGCTGGAGAAAACACAGGGCACGTTGGGGAGCAGGTAACTCTTGAAGAAGTCCGTGTAGGAGAAGGAGTCGGGCTTCTCGATAAAGTCCACACGGTCCGGGGTCGGAGAGACCTTGCTGGGGAGGCGCCCCTGGAGGCCTCGGAAATGACTCTCGGCGAACTCGCGCGTCTCCCGGTCCATGCCAGGCCCCGCTCCGCATCCTGGGGCGCGTGCGGGGATGCTGAGGGGGGGGGGGGGGGGGGAGAAAGAAAGAAGGGGGAAGTTTCAGGAGGGGAGGGTCCGGAGGGGAGGAGAGGGTCTACCGAGAGCGGAGGGGCTGGGGCTGGGGCTGGGGCGGGAGAACAGCTCCGGAGGACGGAGTGCCGGTGCCGGTGCCGGTGCCGCCGGGAGAGGGCGGAAGCCGGAAGCCGGCCTCGGGCCTCCCACTGCCTTGCGCGTGAACCCCGGAGGTGAAGGGAAGCACTTCTTACAACTCCTTCCGCACAGAAGCCGGGGGTACCCGCGCGGCGGGAACGAGTCCGCGAGGCGCACACCAGCGCCGGGCGCCGCCGAGCGGAACCCAGACGCCCGGGCGGAGTTCCCGCCGGAGCCGGCGCGGCGGGCGCGGCCTGGGCGCATGCGCACGGCGCGGCCCTCCCGGCGCAGGTGCGGCGGCCGCCGGGCAGCCCCCGAACCCCGACCGGCTCCGGGTCCGCCCCGCGCCCGCCCGAGTCTCCTCATCTTCGCGCCTCAAGCGAGACTCCGGAGCGCGTCGTCCCTGGTCTGTCTGGCAGCGAGGACCCCCCTCTTCCCAGGGCCCCCGGGACTGCGGTAGGTGGTGGGTTGTGGGCCGGGCTGAGAAAAACGACAGAAGGGCCAAAGGTAGGGTACAGGGGGATAGTGAAGGGCTAAGGGGATGATTGGGGACCTGGAGAGGACAGTGGGGGCCTAAGGGGAATAAGGGAGATGGTGGGGATCTAGAGGAGATAATGGGGGCCATGGTGATGGTGGAAACCTGGAGGGGATGATGAAGGGCCTAGAGGAGCCGTGGGGACCTGGAGGGGATGATGGGAGCCTAGGGGGTGGGGAGACCTGAAGCATGAGGGAGGCGGGGGGCTGGAGAGAGAGCGGGGACTTGGAGGGGCTGGTAGGTGCCTGGAAGATGGTAGGAGGGATTGTGGGGCAATGGGAAGACCTGAAGAGGGTGTGGTGATCAGTGATGGGGATGTGAGCTTGCCTTTACCGCAGGCCTACAATGGAGGGACATGAGTGGAAAGGTGGTGGGGGTGACATGTCACGTCTCGGTATATCGGAGAAATCAGTCCTACCCTCACAAACCCCCACGTGGAAAGAAACCGGACTCCTTACTGTGTGAACTTGTCAGATTTCATACATGTATGTGGAGCGTCAGCAAGAGAGAACAGAATTGGACAGAACTTCACACATTTCCAACATAGTAAGACTGAAGAAAAAGCAAATAACACCTCTCTCATCTCTTTTCCTGGAGGGAAAGATGCATCCTCCCTCCTTTTCTTCCTCCCTTCCTCCTCCACTCTCCTCCCCCTTCCCTTCCACTTCCCCCCTTCCTCCTCCCCTTCCACCTCCCCTTTCCCTTCTCCTCCTCTCCCCTCCTCTCCCCCTTCCCTCCTCCTCCCCTCCTCCCCAGCTTCCTTCCTCCCACCTCCTTCCCCCTCCCCCTCCCTCCACCCCCTTCCCTCCTTCTCTCCATCCTCTCCCCTTCCACCTACCTCTTCCTTTCTACTTTCTTTAAAAAAAAAAAAATGGAAAAAATATCCTTGGGTGAGGATTAACAACAACAAAAAAGAACATGGGGGATCCTTTCGGAGTTCATAAGCGTGATGATTGGGTGTTCACGCGGCTGTGTGAGGTGTGCCGCCCATTAACCTTGTTACGCTTTGGCACATGACCTGTCTGACGTGAAAAAAAAAAAAAAAAAAAAAAAAAAAAGAACATGGGAGAAACGGGACTGGGGGTGGATATTGTGTGGCAAGTGGAGCAGTGGGTGGTGTTGTGTCATCTGTCCCATCTGTCTGTGTGTTTAAGGCATGGCATTCTTCATTAGGCTGGTTAGTTTGGGGCAGACAGTGAGAACACAAGGGGAAGGCTAAATGGAGAAGAAGAGTCACCCATAACCCCATCCAGAGAGGACCATGTTTTCTGTTTTGATGTAGAGCTGTCCTTCCAGATGAGAGGGCAGGGCGGGGTGAGGGGGCAGGGCCGGGTAAGAGGGCAGGCGGGGTGAGAGGGCAGGGTGGGGCGGGTCCAGCTTCCGGTAAATGGACCCTAGGCCTAACCCAACCAATCAGGTCAGCTAAGGTAGCAGCACCACCCTCCCTATAAAACCCATTGATATAATATGTTAAGTTCTTCCTCTTTCTCCCCATGCCCTTGTTGGTGTAAGTGAGACTGAGCTCGGACTAGTCCGAAATAAATACAGGCTTTCTGCAATTGCATCGGATTCGGCTCCCTGGTAGTCTTTGGGGTTTAAGACACTTGGGCATAACACAGATATGGATCAGTTATTCCATTGTATTCTCTCCTTCCCTGTACACCCACAGTTGTGGATCTCTGAAGGGGCAGAGGAGCAAAGTATTCATAAGTATAGTAGTATAAAGATTTGGGAAATATGGGTCCAAGTTTGCCCCATGGAAGAATGAAATTCAGTTGGGTATTGCCTGGGAGCACTCCAGCTCCTGAAGGTGTGTGGTTGAGAGTAAATTTCCTAAAAAAGTGGAAGCTTTGCACCAGCAGGTCCACAGGCTCCCTGGTATTGTCCCTCAAGGTAGGAGATGGGCCCTTTTTTGAGCATTGGCTGTTCCAGGCATTTGTGTTGTATTTCCCTTAGCCCACACGGTGACCTTCTGGCACGAGCAGTGTCACCACCACTGAGTCTCAACAGAACCAGTGAGAGCAAGTTAGTGTCCCTCAGAGGCCACTAGACGGCAGCCTTGGCATCACCTGGAACTGGTGAGAAATGTACATGCTTGGGCCCCACTCAGACATACTGTGGTCACATCCTGGGGAGTCATATCCCCGGGGGTGGGTACTTCCCTGTGACACACCCCTCAGAGGGTCAGCGAGAAAACAGCAGGAGGGAGTTTAAAAGCAAGCACTCTGTAGTGCTTACTTTTGTAGGAAATGCAGTGGGAATTACATAAAGTCCTATTTACTCCAAGGAGCTAGAAAGACGGGGCGCGCCCTGTGAATACGCCATGCTGCTACAGTAAAACATCCAAACAGCACTTGGAACTCCCAGGTTGAAAGTGGGTGCCTCTGAGGAGCAGGAGATGAAGGTAATGGAAAAGGCTGGCCATGGCACCTGGAGACACTGCTCCCACTGTTCAGACTCTAAGCCTTCTTGTGGTCAGGAGTTATTGGAAGGTGTGTAAAATGTTGCTAGTTCTGTTACTCTGGAAATTTAACTAAAAATAGGTGTTTACTTGATACTTTTTCACTGTAGGCACAGTTCTGATGCAAGAGCTGAAAGAGATGTTATACTACATGCCGTGCATCCTAAGTATGGTTCAGTAACCTAGAGCATCACTCTGCTGATGAGCTCTGGACATCCTCGGGGAGCCTTGCCATGACCTTCCCTTCCCATTTCAGCTCTATTTTCAGGGTCCATGCAAGTCTGTAGGTCTTTCACTAGAAGATGTAGGTTCTAGATTATAGCGGGTGAGGACCAAGTAAGGACTCCAGAACTCAGCATATGTCGGACCAGCATCAGCACATGAAGGAGGAAAGCAGTCCACAGTGGACAGTTGATGTTTCCACATGGCATGGGATTCACTCAGCAGATACTCCCTGGGAGCCTGGATGTGCTGGCACTGTGCACAAGGCACTCTCCGCATGATGTTTGCTTCTCCAGGATGCAGACCCAGTTGTCCCTCATGTGAGCACATTGATAGGCTCTTAGGAGTTGTGGTGAGTGCTGTAGATGATGAGGGCTCCATGATGAGGCTCCAATTTGGGAGAGATGATGTCACTGGGGCAGAGGCCATTCAGTGTCCTGGAGCAGCAGGTTCAGGGTCGACCAGGGTTGTGAGCATGCCGTGCATCCTCACCTGTCTTTGACATTCTCATTAAGATCCTTGAAAGTCTCACTAAGTCCTTTGAAGCTCTCTTTGAGTCCCTTGAAGCTCTCATTAAGATACGTGAGTAACCTTATAACCATTGCTTGGAACTCTGTATCCATTAGTTTGTTTGCTTCCATTTCTTTCATTTGTAACATGTTTCTTTGTTTCCAAATTTTGGCTGCTTCCCTGTATTAGGGTGGGCTGAAATGTCTATGTATTAGGCAGAGCTGAAATGTCTCTTAGAATTCTTAGAGTGGCTTTGTGTATTAGGTGTCCTGTAGGGCCCAGTGGCTCAGCCTCACCTGAGCTGGGCACTCTAGGTATACCCCTGTGTGGGCAGTCTTGTTATGTAGTTGAGCTTTGATTGCTGTTGGGTCACTGGGAGGAGTTGACCTCCAGGCCAGTTGGCTCTGAAGACCAGCTGTGACTACAATGGAAGAGCTGCTGTGCAGGAGACACTCCTATGGAGCAGGACTTGCTTCAGTGGTGCTCATTGAGTCAGCCCCTTGATAGCTTGTGGATGTGTAGAGTTGTAATCTGTTAGGGTGTGAAGCTATGCACTGGCTTTAGGTCCTCCAGAGATGTGCAAAGTCAGCCACTGTCTGGGGCTACCCAGCAGGAGCTACAGAGAGATCCACAGACAGCTACTATTTGTATTGGGTTTGGAAATGGCCAGATGAGGCCCAGCTGTGAAGCAAGGCAGACTTTTGTTAGTGCTGGGTCTTGGGCCTTTTATTGGGACATGCTGATGCCAGTTGCAGTTTGTTTGAGAGATTTTAGCAAAGTCTGAGCCAGACAGGCCATTCTTATGGAAAAGCTGCTACAAACAGCTTGGGTGGGGCTGCAAATTGGCTAGGGTGGGGCCTCAGGGAATCTCCAGGGTTCAGTGAAGTGTGAGAAGTGTGAGTCACACTGATGGAAACTCAGATATGGCTGCCAGCCATCTCTGCAATGGGGTGGACCCAGCACAGGAACAATGACCTCTGGAAGCACCCCCATCTGGGAGAAAGCCACCCTCGAGTTCCTGCCCCAATGCCAGATTCTACAGTTCTTCCCCTTATGTGTTTGGGTTTCCCAAAGTCTCCCAGTCTGGAGCTCAGAGGGATCAACTCTAAGTAAGTTTGTGTGCTGGCCTCTTAAAAGGAACACGTGGTTCTCCCACAGCCTCCATCTCACTCAGCCTGAAGTTCCTGGACTTCTCTTCCCAGCTCTGGAACCTGGGGCTGGCGTTCTGGTTGCAGCTGGGATCCCCTGGTCTCACTGATGGCCTTTGCAGAGATGATCTCCCTACAGATTAAAATAAAGTCACATGTGGGTGTCAGGCCAGCCTTGTCTCTGCCCCTCTTACCAGTCTCGATGTGCTTTCTTCTTTTCTTCTCTAGTTGTAGAACTTCCATTCAGCCAGCTTTCAAATGGTTCTGAATGATGGTGGTTCTGTATTTTAGTTGTAATTTTGATGTGATTGTGGTAGGCGGAAAGTCCAGGCGTTTACCTATGCCACCATCTTGGTTCTCCCTGTTGTCTGTTTTTGTTTGTTTGTTTTTTGTTTTTTTCCCCAAATTACACAAATTAATTTGTATTTATTTATTTATTTATTTATTTTTCACGGTCTGCATTTATTTTATTTTATTATTATTGCTGAGCATTATCTTATAGGAAGGCCATGTTAAGGTGTCCTGCTCTGGGTATCCCATACACCACGAACGCTAATTTGTATTTAAATCACTTTTCTAAAGCACATTGTATGCAGAAGATCAACAAGATATGCTTCTATTTATGTAGTACCCCCTTTCCATCACAGAAGAGTGTTACCAATATGACAATTATCTCTGGGGCTTCAGAGATCTTTGTTTCCCTGGGTAACATTTTGGGGGAGTGGTGGCAAATACACACGTGCGTAATTGTCTCCTCATGAGGAAATGTATAAGCCAGAGACCCACAAATAGTGACTCTTTCATTCACATACTTAAAAGAGTTTTCACTCAAAAGGCCTACTAGTAAATGGGAAATAACCCGATTTCCTGGTTTAGCTATACAGTTGTAGTTTATTCTTATTTCCCACATAATTTTAATAGTATAGCCGCCTTCCCTCCCGTAAAAGTGTTCCAGTTTGGACAAAATATTATATGATAACCTTACCTAAACTAGCTATTATCTTTGTTATAGAACGTTAAGCTTTGGCTGTGAAGCCAACTATATAAATTAGGGTTGTAATTTCCCCATAAAGATACAATGGTCAGATTGGTTAAATCACCCGGCCTTTTCCCATACAGAAGAGTCATGAATCTGGCAATGTAAACAACATGAGGAGAGCTTTCAACAATGAAAGCATCAGCTCCGTACCTCTACATTTTTTTTTTTTGAATTTGCTATTTATACAGCCTGCCATGATCATTTTGGAATAATGGGGAGTCTGCCCAGCCACGAGGGATTTTAAATGCCACCAATAGTAATGAAAAAAAGTATTACACTTTTGTCTTATTTCTGGCTTCCCAAACAGAAAGCAGAGGTAGAAGTTTGAATCAGGAGCTATTTATTTTTAAGTTAATAGTATAAAAGAAGGCCTTCTTTCCATCAAACTCCCCTCCCCACTACCGAGCCTAGAATTATTAGGAATGGCATCTCCATATAATAGAAAAGCTGGACACCAAGCATTCAACTAAAGTCCAGGGTCCCCTGTCACACTTCCCTCCCTAGCTCTCCCAAATAGCTAGCTCACTCTGTGAGAAAGTCAGAGGAGAGGCTACTGGGAATGGGGAGAGCTAAGTTAGTGTTCATCCGGGATAGCAATTTGCAAGGCAGCAGATCTATTATACTTACCCACACTCCAATAGCAGCACCCTAACCCTGCGGGATGCCATAGATTCCAGAGACCTGGTCTCCCACCCCACACTGTCCCAGCACATTCTGGGCATGTTTGCACATATTCTTGTCCCGCATTTCAATCTGAGATAGCAGTTCTCAGTGTATCTCAGAGTTCAGTCTGCAGATAGCCTTATACCGTAAGTATTCTAAGCTTAAGAACATTATCATCCACCTTCGGTTAAATTTGTTGGCTAATAGGTGATGGTTCTGAAGAACCCAATGAAGGTCCCCAATGCCATAAATACAGATAGACCGCTGGTGGGTTCCAGAGCAAGGTGCATAAGGTGCCCCATGCTGATGTCTCCTTCATGACCCTGCCACTTTACCAGCCTGGCAATGGCAGCCATGTCTGACATGTGAAACTTGGGGTGGTAGGGAACAGAACCAGGCATCCATGGGGCACACTGAAGCGTGGTCCAGTGTTCATTGGGGCTATAGTTACCTTACCCACTCAATCAGTTGCCAGGCTTTGGGGTTCTTGAAGACCTGTTGGACAAAGCTTCGAGAAGCCGCAATGTAGGCATTTCCCATGAACAAAGGTAAATTATTAGGCGGAGTGTCCTTTATCTTCCATATACATACATGTTGGTTATGTATATTGTGTCTTTTGCCTCAGTGATATTGCCGGTGAGATATTTTGTACTCGGTAGGTATCTTCTACTCCATACTGTTCTTCCCATTCAACATCTTGAGGGCCAGGACCATCTCGGCATTGGTCTTTATAGGGCAGTCTGTTCTGCATGTATTTAGGAAGTATTTCCATGGCCCTGAGCTCTGGAGAAAGTCTTCCATACTGTTTAGGTCCACCTGTACCCCTCCCAACTGCCCTCCTCTACTGGCCTGATTGCCCACAACTGCCCTCCCCTGCAGGCCATCTTGTGGCAGCAATCTTGTATCCACATTGGGGTGGTCATCTTGTGTGTTGGAGTGATGGTCAATTTGCATATTAACTCTTTATTATATAGGATAATAAAAGCTTAATATGCAAATTGCCCCCTTGACTGGGAGTTCGACCACTCCCTATGATGTGTGCTGACCAACAGGGAGTGGTGTGAAACATGGCGAGTGTTGGCAATGAGGACACTGGCAGCAGGTGGCAGTGGAGGCACTGTCAACCCCAATGGGCCCCAATGAGAGCAGGACTCTGGCGGGATGGTGGAGCAGGTGAGCGGGCAGTGCCAGGCCAAGGTGGGTGCAAGTGGGGCCTGATTGCCCCGCAGACGACCAGCAATGGTGGCAGGGGGGCCTGATGACTCAGGCAGAGGGGAGTACATGAGGACCCAGGGGCCCAGTTGCTGTCCAGGGCCCAAAGGTCAGCTGGGACCTGCCCTTCCATGCCAGACACTTGTGCTTCGATCGCTGGCCATGCCTAAGGAACTCACCTGTGCACAAATTTCGTGCACCGGGCCTCTAGTAAAACTATAAGTATACACATATCCGTGATTGTATGGAACTCTATAAAAACTATTTGGGGTTATAAGAGTGGAAAAGTTTGTCAGATTATTTTCTCTGTGATCACTTTTTGGATTTTTGTAGTATTTGTTCTTATCAGTTTAATATTTTCTCTGTGAAATTAAGTTTATAAAAATTTCAAATGGAGACTCTTCTTTAGGTTAGAAACTTGTAAAGAATGTGTAGTGATAGAGGTCCTCACACCTCTTGGCATAGTGGTTTCCAGCAGTTTTCTTCCTTCACTTACATCAGCTCTGGACTCTGGTCTGAGTGGGGGGTGTTCTGGTGGGCATAGAGCTCAGGGACCCTGGGGCTTTCGGAAGAATACAAGTCTGAGACGGGGCCATGTCCTCTCTGCTAAGTAGGACAAAGACTTCATCACATGTGTGAGAGCTCTTGCTAGGCAAGGATCCTGTTATGTGCTGGTGTCTTAGGTTTGTTCTGAATCCAAGCTATTCTTTCGCCATTGATGTCCTAGTGTCTCTAGGTCAAGTGTAATGACACATTTTAGCCCAACATACCCACTAATTTGTCCCTTTTCCTCCAGAGCAGAGTGGTCTTGGCCTTGGTGGAGACTGACCCAGGAACCAGATGAGCAGAGACCTCTGCGTTCACACCTGGCCATGCTCCTATTATTTGGAACTTGAGAAGCGATGGGTTCCTGGAAAACTTTGGTTAACTTCACTCTCACTAAAATTTCTGACTGATAAAACTGGAGACTTTCTTGTCAGCTTTCCTCTTGCTGATATAATTGAGATCAAGAAAGAAGCTTCTAATTTTATCTTCAGTTCTGTCACCATCCTGGAAAAGGACCATGTCAAGCACTGGTTCAGTTCCTTGCAGCCTAGTAGGAATGTTGTTTTCCATATCATCGAACACTTCTGGAGAGAGTTGCTGCTGTCTCAGCCAGGAGCTGCTGTGGAGGCATCATCTTCCACCATGACCAAGGGGAAGGAGCTGACTGGTCTCATGGCATGTTCCCAGAAGCGTCTAGAAGATGCAGCCAGAGTCCTACACTACCAGGGTGAGCAGCTGGACAGCATAACGAGCAGCCTGGACAATATGGAGTCTGACCTGGATGTGGCTGACAGGTAGAGAAAAGTACTGCAACCATAAGCTGCTCTTTTGGTGTCTTCCATATCCCATATTTAATACACATTCAGGAAACAGTTATGCTGGGCTGGATGCTCTGGGCATATAGACAGTAAAAGAACTGTTGCCAGATTTAGTGTAAGTCTTTAATGAGGATACGTCATTCAATCACCAGATAAGCCAAGAAGAGAGAGAAACTGAGTCTGAGAGGCCAAAGAATTTGAGATCACACACACTAGGTTTATTAACAGTTTATTTTTTTTATATAGCTGTGGAGCAGCCAGTTTTCAACAGAAGCATTTTGGCTCCAGAAGTTACCACCTGAGCTGCTGGACCAGCAACTCTCAAAACTTGGTCTTGAGGCTCTTCTACTCTCTTAAAAATTGAGGCCCCAAAGAGGTTTTGTTTCTGTGGGTTATGTTCTATTAACCATGTTTTTTAAAACAAAAAAAACTAAAAGTATTATTGTTTAAAGAGTAAAATAATAAACTCATGACTTAGTAATGTGACATTTAAAAAATAATATCTTTACATTATTATATTATTACTAGAGGCCCGGAGTACGAAATTTGTGCACAGGTAGGGTACCTAGGCCTGGCCAGCGATCAGGGCCAATCTGTGGGGTGACTGGGGACAATCTGGGGTCCATGGGCTGGGGGCAGCTCCTGTGTTGAATGTCTGCCCCCTGGTGGTTGTTCTGCTGTTTGGTCAATTTGCAATTAGGCTTTTATTATAAAGGACCTTCGGGTCCTTGTTTGACCAGAAGTTCCACCATTAGACCGGGAGTTCGACTGCTTGCTATGACATGAGCTGACCACCAGAGGATGGTGTGGAAACATGGTGGGTGTAGGTGGATGCGGCACTGACAGCAGGAGGCAGTTGAAGTGCTGCCCGCCCCATGGACCCCAATGAGAGCGGGGCTGTGGGGGGATGGTGGAGCAGGTGAGGTTGGCACCAGGCCAAGGTAGGTGTGAGCTGGGGCCCAATCACCCTGCCCATCATCCCACAGATGGTGACCAATGGTGGTTGTGGGAGCGGGGCTGCCATCAGGCTCCTAGGCTCTGAGGGAACCATGTGGGGGACTCGGCCCTGACCAATCATCCCACAGGCAGGATGATACAGCAGGTGAGGGGGCAGCGCCAGGCCAAGGTGGGGTGCCTGGTGTGGCTGTGAGGCTATGGGTGCAAGTTGGGGCCTGATATCCGAAGGCCACCCCAATGTACTTCACCCGTGTACCATGCCTCTAATTAATTCATATATATATAGTGGCCAGATTATTATGTTTGCTGAGTGCATAATAATCTGGCCACTCAATTAGAGGCCCGGTGCATGAATTTGTGCATGGGTGGGGTCCAACCAGCCTGGCCAGGTGGAGGGGACATGGGTGGTTGGTCGGCCAGCCTTCCTGCTGGTCAGACTCCTGGTTGAGGGGACAATTTGCATGTTAGCCTTTTATTATAGAGATATACACTGAGTGGCCAGATTATTATATGTTCTGTGTGTGTGTGTGTGTGTGTGTGTGTGTGTGAACAACCAGTCGATCAGTCGCTATGATGTGCACTGACCACCAGGGAGCAGATGCTCAATGTAGGAGCTGCCCTCTGGTGGTCAGTGCGTTCCCACAGCAGTAGTGTCGCTCAGCTGACCATTGGGTGCCAGATGACGGGCTCACAGCTGGCAAGCACTGTGGTGGCGTGAGCCTCTCCTGCCTCCATGGCAGCACTACTGAACAGTGGTGGCGGCAGGTGCCCAGCCCAGGCTTGGGCTCCTCCCCAGCCACCTGCTGCTTCTGGCCCTACTACCTCCCCCAAGGGGTCCCACATTTTGAGAGGGCATAGGCCAGGCTAAGGGACCCCACCAGTGCACCGGGCCTCTATTATCTTATCTAATAAAGAGGGAATATGCAAATTGACCATCATACCATCACAGTGGAGGTGGGGTTTCCATAACACAAGATGGCTTCGCCCACAGGGGAGGCCGAGTTCCCATAATGAACCTTAAGGAGCAATTGGCAGGGACCTGAGGCTGCATGGCGCTGGGCCAAGTCAGATGACCTGAACCTGTGCCCCCTGCCTGGTGGGGCTTGACAGGGACCTTAGGCCATGACCCCCACCCCGGCGCCAGGGACCTGAGGCTGTGCTCCCCTCCTGGTGCTGGGCCAGGGGACCTTAGGCTCTGCCCTCCTCCCAGCGGGGCTTGACAGGGTACCTGAGATTGAGCCCCACACCAGGTTGATGGGGACCTGAGGCTGCCCCTCCCCCCCTCTGGCAGGGCTTGATGGGGACCTCAGGTCACTCTGCCTACCTCGGCACTGGGCCAGGGGACCCACAGGTATGCTGGGGGACCTGGGGCTGCGTCCCCCGCTCCCCCCAACCCAGTGCCAGGCCAGAGGACTTGAGGCTGTGCCCCTACCGGTTGGGGATTGACGGGGGACCTGAGACTGTATCCCCTGCCCAACGGGGATTGACGGGGGTGGGGCTGGCTCGGTCTGGGTCTCACACAATTTTGAGGCACCTCAGGTGGGTGGGGACTTGACTCTGGGTTCCACAATGTGTCCCAGACTTTGACAGAAGGAAGATTTTCACATGCATTTTACTAGTCTTTCATCTCTGACACTTCTATTGATATTTACAGAGAAAGGGCAAATAGCAATATTAAAATATTTCCTCTAATTAATCCCCTTTTAATGTGCACAAATTTTGTGCACCAGGCCACTAGTTATATAATAACCAATTCAGTGAAGAATAGCCCTGTTTGAGACATTGCACCTCTGTAAAGTGAGGCTTAGCAGAAGACATAAGGTTCCCATGCCTGCTGCTGCAGTGAGTGCTCTGTGCCTTTATAAAACCCCTGCCTGCACTGAGATACTAAGATGGGTTTTGGTACAAGAGATCATGTGATATTTGTCTTTCTCAGATTGGCTTATTTTACTTAGCATAATATTTTATTTTCCAGGTCTATACATGCTGTTCCAAAGGATAAGCAATCCCTCTTTTTTACAGATGCATAGTATTGCATTATGTAAATGTTCCACAGCTTTTTTATCCATTCATCTACTGATGGGCACTTGGGCTGTTTCCAAGTCTTAGCTGTTGTAAATAACGTTGCTATGAACATAGGGGTGCATTGGTGTTTTGGGGTTTTTAGGATATATTCCCAGAAGTGGGATTGCTATCTCAAAGGGAAATTCTATTTACAACTTATTGAGGAAACTATACTGTTTTCCATAGTGGCTGCATCAATCTGCATTCCTACCAGCAATGAACTCCACATCCTCACCAGCATTTGTTGTTTGTTGATTTTTTTATGGTAGCCATTCTGACATGTGTGAGGTGATATTTCATTGTGGTTTTGATTTGCATTTCTCTGATAATTAGTGACTTTTAGCATTTTTTCATGTGTCTCTTGGCCATTTGTATGTCTTCTTTGGGGAAATGTCTATTCAGGTTGTCTGCTCATTTTTAAATTGGATTGTTTGACTTCCTTTTGCTAAATTATATGAGTTCCTTATAACCCCTAATTGGATGCATCACTGGCAAATGTGTTCTCCCATACAGTTGGTTTCCTTGTCATTTTGATAGTGGTTTCTTTTGCTGTGCACACACTTTTTATTTTGATGCAGTCTCATTTGTTTATTTTCTCCTTAGTTTCCTTTGCCCTAAGGGATATATCTGAAAACATATTGCTATGTGAGATGTTTGTGATTTTACTGCTCGTGTTCTCTAAGATTTTTATGGTTTCATGCTTTACAGTTAAGTCTTTATCCATCTTGAGTTTATTCATGTGTAGGGTGTAAATTGGTGGTCTAGTTTCATCTTTTTGCATGTGTTTGCCCAGTTTCCCAGCACCATTTGTTGAAGAAACTGTCTTGACTCCATTGTATGTTCTTTCCTCCTTTGTCAAATATTAATTGACTGTAATGGTGTGGGTCAATTTATCGGGTCTCTGTTCTAATTCATTGGTCTATAAGCCTGTTCTTGTACCAGTACCAGGCTGTTTTGGTTATAATGGCTTTGTAGTCTAGCTTGATATCTGGTATTGTGATCCCTCCAACTTCTTCTTTTTCAAGATTGCTATAATTATTTGGGGTCTTTTATGGTTCTATATAAATTTTTGGAGTATTCTAGTTCTGTGAAGTATGTTGTTGGTATTTTAATAGGGATGGCTTTGAATCTATAGATTGCTTTGTGTAGTATAGACATTTTAATTATATAATTCCTCCAATCCATGAACCTGGTATACATTTCTGTTTGTTTGTATTTTCCTGTATTTCTTTTTTCAATGTCATAGTTTTCCATGTACAGGTCTTTTATCTCCTCAGCTAAGTTTATTCCTAGGTATCTTTCTGTTGCAATGGTAAATGGGATTGCTTTTTTAATTTCTCCTTCTGAGAGTTTGTTATTGGTGTATAAAAATGCCATCGATTTCTGAATATTAATTTTATATCCTGCTATCTTGCCAAATTCATGTATTAAATCTAATAACATCCTGGTGGAGACTTTAGAGTTTTCTGGGTACAATATCATTCCATCTGTGAATAATGACAGTTTTACTTTCTCCTTTACAATTTGGATGCCTTTTATCTCTTTTTCTTATGTGATTGCTGTGGCTACGTCTTCCAGTACTTTGTTGAATAAGAGTGGTGAAAGCAGACATTCCTGCCTTGGTTCCTGTTCTTAAGGGGAACACTTTTAGTTTTTGCCATTGAGTATTATGTTGGCTGTAGGTGTGTCATATATGACATTTATTAGGTAGAGGTATGATACCTCTATTCCCACTTTACTGAGAGTTTTTGTTAAAAAAAAAAAAAAAAAAGGGGGGGGGGGGGTGCCAAAACCGGTTTGGCTCAGCGGTAGAGTGTCGGTCTGCGGACTGAAAGGTCCCAGGTTCGATTCCAGTCAAGGGCATGTACCTTGGTTGCGGGCACATCCCCAGTAAGGGGGTGTGCAAGAGGCAGCTGATCGATGTTTCTCTCTCATCGATGTTTCTAACTCTCTAT